GTATATAAGCTAGAACAAAAGATGCTGAAGGAAGAAGTTCAAGCTGCATGGAAATCATTAGCCCAAAACAATATTCCAGGAAGTGACTGAAGAAAACCTGACATGTTTCAACAAGCTTGTGAAGCACTGGAAGTCCTCCTCCGTTCCAAGAAATGTAGAAGAGATTTATTTGCTCAACTGAGTGGAAGAAATCCCTATTGGTATCCATTCTAAAACAATCATGATATCATTTTAGAAGGTTGTTGGTTCTTCTTTCCAAAATTATAGAACAATATTACTGATATCACATGCAAGTAAAATTTTGCTGAAGATCATCCAACAACAGTTACAGCAGTACATTGACAGGGGACTGCCGGAGATTCAGGCTGGATTCAGAAAAGGACGTGGCAAAAGGATATCATTGCTGATGTCAGATGGAGCTTGACTCAAAGCAGTGACTACTAAAAAGAGATGTTCACTTGTGTTTTCTTGACTATGCCAAAGCATTTGACTGTATGGATTGTCATTTTTTTAATATGGATAACCTTAAGGAGAATAGGAATTTCAGAACATCTTTTGATTGTGCTCATGAAGAAACTGTACATGGATCAAGAGGCAGTTGTGTGAACAGAACAAGGGAATTGTGCATGGTTTAAACTCAGGAAGGTGTGCAACTGAATCATAACCTCTCATTATACTTAATCTGTATGATGAGAAATACATCCGAGCAGCTGGATTTTATGAAGAAGAATCCACATCAGAATCGGAGGAAGGCTTATTAACAACCTATCATATACAGATGACACCTTGGTTGCTAACAGTGAGGAGGACTTGAAGCACTAGCTAATGACGATCAAAGATTGCAGCCACAAATCTGAATTATGACTCAATGTAAAAAAGGCCAAAATCCTCACACCTGGACCAGTAGATAACATCATGACAAATGGAGAAAGGTTGAAGCTGTCAAAGAGTTTATCTTTCTTGGATCCACAATCAATGCGCATGGAAGCAGAGCCAAGCAATCAACGTACTCTGTGCGCTGGGCCAGTCTTCTGAACAAGACCTCTCTAGAGCATTGACAAATGAAGATGCTCCTTTGTAAGCTAAGGTGCACCTCACTGAAGCGATGGTATTTTCACCTGCTTCCGATACATGTGAAAGTTTGACACTGAGTGAAGAAGACTGAGAAAAATCTGTGCATTTGAATTATAGAGCCAGAAAAGAATATTAAAATACCACAGGATGCTCAAAGAACAAACAAGTCTGTCTCAGAAGTATGGCCAGAGTGCTCCTTAGAGGCAAGGGTGGTGATACCTGATCTCATGTACTTTGGACATAATGTTCGGTAAATTAAAGAGGGCTGAGAAAACAAGGAAAGCTATCAGAAAGATGGTTTGGCCCTAAGGGCTCCATCATGGGAAACATCGTGGAGACGGTGTTGGACCAGGTACTGTTTCCTTCTGTCGAAAGCACCGGGGATTGCTCAAAGGACAACCTGATCTTTCTTGGGAGAGGTATGGCCACAGTGCTCCTTGGGGGCCAGGGTGATGAGACTTTGTCTTTTACGTGCTTTGGACATGTGCTTTCTAGCCCATCGCCTTCACCACTTAACTACTTACCTACTGCTTAGACCTGTGTTTCAATATTCTCTGCCCGTGTACTTTCACTATTCTTTTCCAGCACCACAATTAAAATGATTGAAATAAATATATTTACATGTAAATATTTACAATATATAATTAATCGACCATTTACTGATCCAACAGTCTATATTTCTTCCTCTAATGTATTCACCCATCTTTACTATATCACACAGGCTACTAGATATCACTCTATTTTCACTTATAATGTCTGGATTCTCTGATATTTATAATACCTTTTACATTTAGATAGTATTTTATTAAATTATCTTACAGATTTAAATGTGCTTTTCTGTATGAGGGAGTTTCAAAAAGTTTGTGGGAAAATAGAATGGAAAAGCCATAGAAATATCCGGTGAATGATTTAATTCTGTTCCTAAGCATGTATGTCTGTGTACGTGCAAGTGTACGCACGCATTATGTAAAGGTATTGCTTTTCAAATTCCTATTCTTGCGTCGTTTCTAGGACCTTACTGTTCCTCTGAAGTTCTCATTAATTTGCTCTCATTTTAAACTACTAATGCTACAGGTGCTTCTTGAATGACTTGAAAAGACCTAAAACAACAAGAGAAGTAACAAAGCAGAGAGCATCGAGCCTCCTTTGACTAGGTATTGTCACTGGGCACCATTTAGCCACCACTCGTCTGTGAGTTTGCCGGACTGTGTTGACTTGTATGTCGCTGTGACACTCGAAGCTCCACCATAAGGCTTCCAAACACCCGCAGGATCGCCCTCGGTGGGGAGTGGTCTCTGGAGCTTCCAGGCTAAGACAGAAGAGGCCACAAAGAAGGAAGAGCCGGTCACATTTTAGGGTATGACCTTTCAGTATACCGATCATGGATTTTTTTGGATTCACAAGTACTTCTTTTACTATTTTTCTTCCTTGGCCAAAAAAAAAAAAAGGAAAAGGTATCTTTTCAAAGACAAGAAGAATTTAAAAGGTGGTGTCATTGTTCAAAGGATTACTATATTTCAACAAGGATATATCATCACGTTCTCCCTCAGATGTCTACTATTTTTGAGACCTGTGAAAGGAAAGCAATGTAATGACCTATATTTATGCACTGTCCATTAATAACTGCCCTTGCGTTTAATGTGAAGCATAATTCAGGTACTAATGGCGTAATGAAGCAACCACTAGGAGCAGGCAGTCGCCCTCACATACTTTCCCTTGTTTTTTTCTTACTTCCTATTGATGAAGTCTTTCACTTACTGCAAGCGCATTACAGTGCAGAGCTATTTAATTCCTGAGTTCATTTCTGTATATATTTATTCAATGGTATCTTGGTGCTAGAAAGTGCTCGATAAACATTTGTCAGGTGGGAGAAGAATGAGTGAAACATACTGCTTAAATATACCAAATGACACATTATTAATAACTACACTGGAATTCTTAAAAGTAGCTGGTACAGGAACAAATGTAAGCCTTTTATTCATAGCAAAGTCTGAAAGATGAATAGCTAGTACAAGCAATGTGTGATTTATTCAGACTCACTAGTAGGAGATTTATAGACATTTATTAACCTACTCGAGTTCCCAGTCCTTCGTACGCTAGTCTTTTATCATGATTAGCTATGTTGTGACTCTAGATTAAATAACAGGTTGTCTGTGCTGAAATATGCAAAAATATGAAGACAGAAAGCCAAAATTATTACGCAGGTTCAGAGTTCCAACTAACACATAGCTATATCTCTGCTTAAGTATGTCAGAATACTGAGACATCTACATGTACACAAAAGCAAATTACTATTATTTTTTTCAGACCTGAAACCCATGGACTAATAGAGAATAGGGTAGAATTGTATGTTGTCGTACAATAAGAATTACTTAGCTCTTTTGGCCACTCAGAAAGGAAGAATCAAATCCGCCTGTGTGCTGTGGCAGAGCAACTGTGATCCTTCCATGGAGCAAACACCATCAAAGCAAGTCGCTGCTTTGAGTTAATTCTTCTGACTCAACTTTCATCCGTTGACTAGCCATTGAAACATAAGTGGATTGTAATGCCCTCTCCCGTATCATGATTCTCTGATCATTACAAACAGACCTTTGAGATCTGATGGGGTATCAACATAAGCAGGACTTGAAACCGGAGCTCAGCCTTGGCTTTCCCACTCAAGTCTTTCTAAAAGTCCCTGTGTCCAGGTTGAAATAATGCTTAGAGCCAGAGGAGAGAGGTAAGGGAAGAAGCATCCCCATTGTCTTTCTACTTCATGGCACTGGCAGTCTTCATATGAACACGGCTTTATGCAAGGTGCAGGAAAGTGACCTAGGGTATATCGTAAGCTTTACAGAAACGTACTATTACAGATAACATTTTTTTCTAAACTAGGACAGTTGTCCACTCTGGTAGCAAGTCCCTCTAGTGGACAGAGGTTGTCTCCTAGAGCCAGCTGTGCTTTGAGGGCATCTTGCAAGCTGATAAAAGCACAATTTATTTCTCTGTGTCATCTTACAAAGTAGCACAAAATCAAGTTTTATAATAGGAATGGAAAGGAAGAAAAAAGTCACAATGTTCCATGCTGCATGATTCAGAATAATTAATGTAATACCTGTGTCATATGAGCAGAGTAAATAAAGAGAAAGAAAGGGGCGCGGGCATATATGATCACTGAAGCATACTCAATTTCAAGGGAAAACAAATTACCAGGGCAGTGCTGGAAATAAAAGCTAGGTGGGAAATATTTTTCAGATGTTAATTTGATTCTTCTATTGAGTCTTAAAGTTGCAGTGTCTAAAATCGCACTGTTTACCTCCATTCGTTTTTTTTAATTTATTTTTAGCTGTTACGTAACCTTATGTCCCTAAAAACCAATTATATAGCTTGCCGGCCTCTACAGAGACATTCCCTTAAGTAGTTCTCTACTGAGACTCTAATAGCACTATGATTTCATTTGCACCGCCTTGCCGGAGAATGTTTCATCATCAGAGGTGTTAAAAAAAATGGATTGAAATGAATAAACCAGGCCAGCATCAAAATGAGACGCAATTTTCTTCGGACACCAGGACAGCCTCTGGAGGGTGGTTCACAACAAACATGGGTTCAAGATCTTGACTAAAAGGACATCTTAGATGAGCGTTTCCTGTGTCCTACCTCAGTCTGTAGATTTACAACAAAAGATAATTCTGAGTGTCAGCATATGCCCCTCAATCCCACATCATGCACATGGCCTTCTTGTAATATGAGTGAAGGATTATCTTCATCGTATGGACAGATTGAAAGGGTCAGATGAAACTTAAGCTTGGTCTACATCACCCTGGGACTTTAGTCTTCCATCTGCTCGGTATTTAAAATGCGCTCTATCATTAAGACTTGCATGGACATTAGCACAGATGGAGGGCTGAGGTCTGGTGTTCTCCAGGGGTGTGAGCACAGTGGCTTACCGACAGTGTTTGTGGGATCCAGTCAGGGTCTCAATCACAAAACACTCCCCATCGTTGAGGCAGTATGCAAGGTCCTTGTCTCGGCAGGGTTTGAAGTGCTCTGAGCGCTCTGTGGAATATGTCGTTGTATCTGTCAAGGAAAGCACGGGGGGAAAAAATGCTGTCAGCAGGGCGTCTTGATACCAGCAACCTTGTTTCAGGCCCATTCAGTCCTACTCCCATGTATGGAGACCTTTACATGTCCTCTGACCTTGGGACATTTAGACAAAGAGAAGGAACCCACATGGTGCAAGAACAGCTCGATCAACCAATGCATTCTATTGCCTTATATCCCCACTCACATGAAACCATTGCTGTAACTGCTGTAACTGTAGAGGAATCTCATCTTGGACACATTACCAGTGAAAGTAGAATGATACAGGAATCAAACATCCTAAATTATTTGAGTTTTAATCAATATATTGCATGAAGATGGAAATACTTTTGCCCGTATTGTTGCCAAATGTCACTACAAAGCCCATACATGTATCTTGTGATTGATTTGTTCTGTCCTATGACTGAGTCAATTATTATTTAATTGTTCTCCTTATATTATTATGTAATTAAAATGCAAATGTTCAGAACACGGAAATTGACTCTCAAATGTGAAGAATGCTTCTAGCAAATATGTAACAAATTATTGTCATGTGAAAATAATTTTTACAAATGCAATTTTAAAAATCATAATTATTTAACTTTTTAAAATTAAGCTACACATCTATATGTCTTCCAGATATGAAACTAAGTATACATATGTGCAACCTACAGAACTGATATTATTATAACATTTAGACATAACTCTAAGCTTTTAGCAACTGATATATTAGTACCAATTCCTGTGTGGCATAAAAGAAAAATTATATTTCAAAAGTTAAAGGTGCATACATTTTTCAGGAGTTTAAGATCTTTAAGTTGTTTTTTCAATAAATCCAGATTATTAATAGTTCAACAGCACAAGATATTATAGCAGCTTCCTAAATGGAGGTCACCATGTACTTCTTCCTACTCTTTATGCAAACTCAAGGTAGCCTTACCTCCTAACAAGAAATCATACCCCTTCCTTTTATATGTAAAAATCCCATCCCCAAGGGAAAAGCTAAAATTATTTTTAAAACACATAAGGACTTTGGCTGTCTCAAATTTTGTCTGACTGCCTAATCTGGTCTCATAGTCTAAACACTCTAAACTTTAATTTCCAAATATCATTCTACTTCCCCCCAATGCGAACAACCATCACACCATTTCTTCTTACACCACTTATATCCCCTGGGTCCCCTTTTTTTAAAACTGGACATCCCTACGGAATTCTTCAGTGTTTTGGTAATCCTCCCCTTAGATATCCTTATCACTGATTATCAATGTATATCACAGCTTCCACAGGCTATACGGAGCTCCTTATTCCCTTCCAAGTTTACCCAATCCTGTATGTGCTTAGTTCTTTGAGGGCGGCATTGAACTTTAGCCACATTATCAAGCAAAGATGTCTTCAGGAAAGGTCATCACTCTGACGTCACTGTGCATACTTTGATGGAAGGGAGGATCCTTGGGGACAGCATCACAATCTAACAAAACATCTTTGCTGGCACAGGCTTGATATAAACTCACAATAGTGCGGTCTTTTTAAGTGTACTTGTGTTAACAGTGGTGCACATGAAAACACACTGTCTTTAGATTCACATAGACCACCCGCTTACTCTCATATACCATTTATATTCCGTGACCATTAAAACCCCCCACTTCTAGTCTCTCCCTTGGTGGTACAAGGAAACCTAGTTTATGTTTTCCATTTGAGATTATCTCCTGGTTAATACTGTGGCACCAAATAAAGGCTCCACAAAATAGACACATGTTCTATTTCCAAGAGATTTCTTCTGTCGTGAAGCTCTGTTCTTCAAGATAGAATGTAATAAAAAGTCACACACAATATGTTTTTTTTTTCCCCATAGGAAATATTTCAAACCCAAGAGCACAGAGGGAAAACAGTCAATATTAGAGTCCACACTGAAGATGGCTATGCTGTGTCAAAGTATATTAATCCATGATGCGTTAGTTAACTTTTCCTTTAATTCCTTATTTGTCATTTATTGATGCTCACTGATCATCCAAGAACAGCTTTTCATGAACATAACCTACAACATAAAAAGTGGGAACCTTATTTTATAATCAGGGCCTTGAACAAGCTACAGATTCCAAGAGCAAGACAATGGCCAAGCAATTGCACTCAATTAGTCTCCATCTGACAACCAGTCTCTAGGGGTTACCATCCGTTTTGCTGATTGCACTCCTGCTCGTATGTCCATCATACTAGCACATTAAAAAAGATCTGAGATAAGAGTGAATGCTTCTGGAGAGGTGAGAGGTGAGAGGGTGCACAGACACCAGACTTAGTATGAATGGTTTCCCATCTAACCAAAGGGGGTACCTATTACTAGGATTTGCATATAACCTCCTCCCTGGGGGATGGGCAACAGAAAAGTGGGTGGAGGGAGACGCCGGGTAGTGTAAGATATGATAAAATAATAAGTTATATTGGCATTCCAGGATGCACACCTTCCTGACACAATTGCTGAAGAAAAATATGAATATAAGAAAATGTGGGGAAGAAAGCTCATTGTGCCCGGCTACCAAAAGATGTAACGTCTGAGGTCTTAAAGGCTTGAAGACAAACAAGTGGCCATCTAGCTGAGAAGCATCAAAGCTCACATGGAAGAAGCACACCAGCCTGTCTGACCA